GAGACTTTGATAAATCCATGCCTAGGATGGCAAATTAAGTCTTTGCAGAGAATTATGCCATTTAATTTTTGAGCTCTCTTTCCCTTTCCCTCACCCCAACCCCATTTAATATTTTGAAAATTTATCATATTTTTAACTATAGGTTTCTAATTTGGATATTGGCAAGAACCCTTAACTTGCAAGACAGACTTTTTTTGTTGTTGTTCTTTTTTAAGTTTTCCAAAAGCAGGCTAATTTCTTCCTAACCATATTAAAAAGCTGTGGCTTAACATTTTATACAACTTCCACTTTTTCCCCCTTCAAGTACAGTTCACAAAGCGGAATCAACTATCTAGAAATAACGTCTGGGATTCAAACCATATAAAATAAAAGGGGCAGGCATTGGTGTAGATCGCCCATGGATTGTGTAGCACCATAAGGCTGTTAAACAGTGAGCAATAATGGCTGATAAGAGTCTTTTCTGTTAATGTAAGCCATGCTGCATGAATGTGATTGACTGTCAGAACAGAGAGGAGGAAAGAAATAGGACAGCATGCAGCATCAGCAGTCCTCTGCCATGCTGATTTAGTAGTTCATCTGATAGCTATTATAAGACTTGCTTCCACAAAAGGAAATTAATGAACAAAGGCAGTCATTCATTCTACTTCTCTTTTGTGCCTTTTATTCCTAACAACAGATTATTTCAAGTAAATTTGTTTGCTGAATTTAGTAGTTTACTTTTCTTGGTGCAATAAAATTATATTTTACACAAAAATGCATTTAAAAAACTCAACATTTAGATTTTAGTCACATCACACAGCTAAGACTGCCTGTATAACTTGTTTCCATTCTGCATATGTATTGTGATATAACCTTTAATTGGATGATCACATATTATTTTAAAGGACATTTCGTCGCATCTGAATGCTTGACTCGCAACTTTAAAAATGTTCTTTTAACATAGTGTCTTGTGTGTTGTAGCCCAGGCTTTGTTAAAAAATGAACTAAAAAAGTTCGCACAGGTTCTATTGGAGGCATTATATTGACACTCAAGCCATTCATCAGCCAGACCACAGCAGCTTAAGCTAAAAAAAAGTTACCAACAGCAAGAGTAGGCTGTCATCCTCAATGAGGACCAGCATTAGAGACAGATAAGAGACTCTGAGTGAGCTTCATAAATAAATGGTGAAACTCATTAATCTTGGATTCCATCTCAGATTCAAGGACACTCTGTTCTTGTGGGCAAAGACTCTTCTGCCAGGCCCCCTACAAACTCAACCCCTTCTGTCTTATTGCACCATACCTGTCCCTGTTTCTTCTCAAACCCTTGTTCATTCTCCTAGTTCTATTCTCCATCTCTGCCTAATCCCAGCTGCCATCCCTCACCCAATCCCATTCTCCTTGCCCACAAGCAATTTCCAATTCTCCCTCTCACCCCTAACTCCTTGTCCCCAGGATCCATACCAAGCCAGTCCTAGCTCTTTCCCTGCCAGCTCCTCATCCAATTTCTTTTCCCCCTCAGCTGACTGGTGCCCAATACTAGTTGGACACACAGTATTTTTCCACCAGTGTAACTTGCACCAGTTTTGTACACTGATGTAAAGTACACAGGGATCCTGAGCAGACAGATGAACAGCTATACAGGAATAGGTACCAGATTCACTGGGGAGCATGTCAGAGCCTATATGCCTACAGCAAAGTTACCTCAGGAAGCAGATGACAACTACATCTACATTGGTTTACCTTACATCAGTGTGTTTTTACTACAGATTTTTCCCAGGGTAACTTTACTTCAGAGTCAAAGCACTTACACTAGCATAGGAGTTTATATAATTTAGCTCATGCTGGTATAAAGACTGATTGCATTGATGTAAATGTATAATGTACACAGGCCCTTAATATTCCTCTCTTGGCTCCTCAATCAATCCATTCCCCCTTACCCCTGCAACCCGAGATCCTCCTTTCCCCACACTGGTTCCTAGTTACAGGCACCTTCTCCAGGTGGTCCTAGTTCCCAGGCTTCTTGTTTCCCTCCCAACCCCCATGTTCCACACCAGTCTCCAGTTTCAGCCTCCCCAGCATCACCTTCTCCTCTCATCTCCCTTTCAGACAGCTTCCTACACACTGTACCACCAGCCTCAGATTTTTTCTTCTAGTCTTCCCCACCCCACCTATGGTACAGTTTTTACCCTCCCACCCCACACCCCAAATTTAAATTAAATGGCTTCTTCTATGCATCACTGAGCACAAAGGACAGACAGCTTCCTCTGGGAAGTTACAATGTCTGACCCCACCCCTGTAAAGGAGATAGTACTGTAAAAGTCTGGCTACAGCCCTGGCCTGTTCACTTCTGGCCTAACGGTCACTCCCTGAACATTATGAGTCCTTGTTTCAGAGCGCAGGGGCAAAAAAAAAAAAATTTTTATATATAAACATATTTTATATTACACACACACACCCATTTAACCATAAACAAAACAATGTCTTTTTCCTTAGCCTCATTCTCAAGAGCAGTTGAACTGTTTGTGCTGTACTTTTCCAAAACACTACTTGGAAGTAGACAGCCAGCATGAAAAACGGTTAAAGTTTTGGCAAGGTTACACATAATTGGACACATGCTATTTATATAAATAAAACATCACATTATATTGATAAGCTGTCCATCTAGTTCTGCCCAAACTAAGAATATATGATTTACAGTTTACGTTGGATACACTTAGTAATGTGAACATTTCATGAATTGCCACCTCATCTTCTATTTTTCTGATGTTAGAGAGACGTATAACCTATGCACTGTTATACAGTGCAAAATAGATAGCTTATGAAAACTGGTACTGTAGTTTAAAAAAAAGAAAAGAAAAAACACATAAGAACCTTAGCTAGTCAATACCTAGTGTAACTATATGCTCCCTAAAATCCACAAACAAAGGTAGCTCTGGCAGATCCATCATATCCAACTGTGGTACTCTTACTGAAGAGCTAGCAAGATTCAGAGAAACTATCCTGAAACCACTTGTCACTCAAAAAACAAGTTTTCTACCAGACATAACAGATTTCATCAAATTGCACAACATCAATCTCCTCCCCCAAAAGGTGATACTTGTAGTCATGCATGTCACCAGCCTGTACAGTACATCCCACACCATGAAGGCACAGATGCCTCCCTGAAATACCTATAAGAACACAGACACTTAGATTTGCAACATGCTGCACAAATCCTGACCCACAGTTTCACTTTCACAACCAATATTTCCTCCAAACCATGGGCACAAAGTCCCTCGACAGGCCAGCACATGAAACAAAACTGTGACATCAAACCTGCCCTCTACTTGTGTTTACAAAGAAGACTTTTCATCATCTGGACTCGCTGACTTCCTCCACAGGTTTCATTAACTCACTCCTTGATCAAATTTTCTCTGAAATATTGCTAAACTAACATCAACTTTCTAGATACCACAATCCACAACTATGATTACACCTTACAAACCACTTTATTAAAAAAAACCCACATGGACCACCATACTGACATCCACAAAATTGGCAATCATTTGAAGCAAGCCACAAAAACTCTGATCTAGTCAGCTGTCAGATATCACCACATCTGCTCCGAGGAGAATATTTGCAATGCCCACTTTGCCAACCAGCAATCTGCCTTTATATAAGAAGGACATTCCAATAGAGAAATAGACTATATCTTTGAAAGAGCCACTCAAATATCCCATAGTAACCTGCTACAATACAAAAAGAAACCTCCCAGTGACTGCGCATCTTTGGTGGTCACCTACCACCCCACACTTGAACTGATTAACAAGTCATCAAGCAGTTGCAGCCTATATTTAACAAAGATCAGACCTTGAAAGAAATATTCCCAGCCTCTCCACTCCTGGCTTTCAAATAAACCCCTAACTTTGCCCAGCTCATCACCAGAAGCAAACTCCCTACTGTTCAACAGACATCAACTGAGATGCAGTTTTGTTAACAGGGTTACTTTCCTACAAGGAACCCCATCAGAATTCATGGATCCTATGCATGCCTTTCCCAAAACATGATATATCTGACCCAGTGCACCAAATACCCTCATGGTAACTATGCAGGTGAAATGAGACAGAAACTATGCACCACAATTAATTTTCACAGGAAAAAAATATATAATGGAGAGGCACAAATACCAGTAGAAGCACATTTCTCACAGAACAACCAGACCCTTTCTGACATCACTATGCTTGTGTTTACGGGAAATTTTTGAAATATCTTCAGAAGATGAGCCTAGGAACAAAAACTTATAAGCCAGCTACACACCAAGGACCAAGGACTGAACACAGATATCGACTTTATGGCATACCATAATCTACCCGATTCCTGAAAATTTTTCTTCACACAACAGGTGATAATGACCCTTTTCCTTTCTAAAAGGTCCAACAATCATGCTATCTTTTTTTTCCAATTGTTTTTCTGCTACCCCAAGGAATTTCTGGCTCCTCCAATTTCACATCCCTTTAAATTGATTGATTAAAAAACACTGTCGTGCCTGCTACTGCCTTCAGACCTGATGATAAATGTTTTTGCATTGTAAAGTTTCTCTAAGTCCATCTCAACCATGCAGTTGGTTCAATAAAAAATATCTGCCACAAAATCACTGCCTATAGTGTAACTATTATGATTTTTTTTAACCTTTTCCTAATTTTATATCAATTAAGGGATTATGTTTGATACATTCTGAAAGACTCAATGCAATGCTTTTTTTCCCCCCTTAAAAGAAAAAAAAAAAAGTATTGTGCCATTAACCCAGTGTAAAAGGACTGCTGATCCCAGTTCCTAAAACTAATCTCAAAATATGGATGACAATACATGTACAGTGTATGTAACAGAGACCCACACAAGATACACATCTCTCAGGTCCCAGTAGGATTGCACTGCTGGCAAGCCACTGGAGTAAGTCCTCAAGAGAAATGAGTGAATTACCCACAACAGCAAAATAACTAACTAGTGGCTTCATCTCCTTTTGACTGCCACAAACTCACCTCTGCTGATGCGTTGTTTCTCTCCCGAAAGAATGCCAGGACTGTCGATGATACTGATGCTCTTCAGAACCTCATTAGGTAACTGAGAGCACATAAACCTGCAGGGAAGGAGGAAAAAGAGACACTTAGAACAGCTATAGATTGTTTCTAGAGATCCCCCACACTTAAAGGCATGGGGCCTAAACAAAGGCCCCTTTAGAAAGAGATGAACACTGGGGTTGCTAGTACTGTTGATGGCAAACATTAAAAAACCCCAAAAAAACCATACAAGGTTTTATTAAATGATAATTGTGGGGTTCTTAACTTTTCGTTCTTATTTCTGGGCTCTTAAAATGTACAGTTACCACTTTCTCAGACTCTTCTCTGCAATCATATAGACTGGAACTTTCTATTTTTAAAACAAAAGTAGAGATTTTTTTCAGTTTCTAAAAATGCAAAATATCACAAGGCTAAACACTCCATCTGAATTAGAAATGACAAAAATAAGGTAACCACCTTAACCTGACAATAACTTAAGATAATTAAAAGTTAATCTCAAATTTCCCAAAGAAAGAATATTCAGGAATGTTAGGTATAGCAAATGCTCCAAATACTGAAGTAACATTTTCTATTTAAAGTTATATGCTGCTTCTGAAAATGAGACACTTAGAAAAAAATCTTTGGCTCCCCCAAGAGACACTGGGAGGAACAGGAAATACTGACCTATCAATAAAAAAAAAATACTACCTCCCCACTTCCAGAAGTAGCACAGATGCAACACCACCTATGTGCTACTTAGCATGAGTCTTCAGTCTAAACACAAGACCAAGAAGCACAAAGGCTAACACACACCAGGTAAAACAGCTTCCTTATTAGCAGTCCCAGAGACTGATATTTTTCTTAGTTATGTATTCTCACAACATCTCATCTCTCTGTAGAAAGTCTAGGATCTGTTTGAGACCAACCAGCATTTTCAGGATATATCTTATATGTCAAGGATATTTATTTCAGCAGAACAATGCTGCAATGTTCAAACTTCTCCTCAAGCCAAATGACATAACAGCAGCAACAGGTTATGCAGGAAAAACAAGAGCAAGAGTTAGCTATGGGGACAGCACTGCTGATTACACAAGACATTAGTAAAGTACAGAAGAGAAACTGGGGAGGTGGGTGCGGCCAAGAGTAAGATGAGTATAGACTGAAGTTAGAAAGAGCTGGCTGTAGTTTCTAAAATAGGCAACAGCCTAAAAGCAAAGGGGAGCCCTGTTACAAAAAAAAAAATAAATAAAAAAAAATAGTTCAGCCTCTTATTTCATACCACAATTTCAAGCTGTAAGCTTAACTACATCAAAATATTTATTTTAGACCCTATTTTTATGACAAGTTTAAAGCATATTTTACACCTAAAATGCAAGTTCAGAGCTAAGTCTCAAAGAACACTGTTCTCTATGTACCTTTATGTCAAGGTGCAAACATAATTTGCTTCAAAGAACAGTTACACAGTGGGTGCATGAAAACAGAGCATTACTGTGCAGCAGATATCTATGTGAAAGCGTCTTCTCTATTAGTGCATACAGGATGGTTCATTATATTCTGGCTGGGGTTATCTGAACCCAGCACTCCTTCCTGCCTAGGCAGGGGGTCGGACTCAATGTTATGTTGAGGTCCCTTCCGATCCTAGCATCTATGAATCTATATCATGTTTTTTGTATTTTAAATTAACTGTAAAACTTAGATCACACATAAACACACATAGTGATACTATGAGTACTGTAAAAGTAATCCTCTTTGTGGGAATGAAATCAACAAGAAATCTTGCAAATATTTGCAGGGAAAAAAGTTTTATAGCATTCAAAAATCAAAGGCAAATTAAGGCTGCAGATGCCTCTTGGTTTTTATTCACTTGTGTCTGCAGTATAAGACAGCATGTGATCAAGGAAATAAAGGCTCTAACTTAAATGAAATATACATTTTTTTCTATGACCTTTTGCCATTCTGCAATATTTTTCCTTCTCATGTACTTTATCAGCAGCCAAGGGCATGCTAGCCTTTTTCACAGAGCAAATAAAAGGAGCAGCCCCTGAAACAATATGCTTAGAAATTCAGTTACAGACATGCCAACTATGAAGAGAAAGAAAAAGGAAGATAGAGTGAAAGAGAAAAAGGTTATAAGAAGATCTTATGTTTAATTACATTCACTATGCATGAACAGCAATGGCAGTGGCATGTTTGTTTGCTAAATTCTCCTTTTGCCCAATTGTTATGTTCAGGAGCAGAAATCATTTGATCAATGACAGTAGCCTGGTGGAAAATAGGTTCTGAATTTAAAGAAAAAACAGACCCTGGAGCACTGGAGTTGGAAGATTATTCCAATCTAATGGGAAAACAAAGGGGAAGGTCCTGTGAGAGAAACATTAAAAGTAATACAAGGGGATGCCAAGACTGTACTGCTGACAGTGACAAGTGAGACAGGAAGGAAAGGAAAAAAGTAATGAGAACTCAAATGAAGGCAAGGGGGAAGTTACTCAAGGCTTTGAAAGTGAAGCTAAGTTGAACCCGCTATAGTAAGAAAGGGGGAACCAGTGGAGCAATTCAGACATCTGCATGACCTGGAAGGAGCACACCAGCAAGGGGTGTTTGCTACAGAAATGTAATTAAAGCTTGACTGCAGGTCCCCAGAGAGCTGCTATCATCAATTTACATGAGCACATCTCTCAGCAGACTAACAGTCACCCTAGGTTTGAACAGCCACAGCTTTTTCCCCCATGAGAAGCATGCTGTATAGAGCATGAAATAATGCTGTATGCTCTGCCAGACTTTAGCAGCGGAACAGGAAACATTAGTGTTAAAAGGAAACCAATTTAACTTAACTTGTCTTGTAGGCACAGGCTTCCTCTTCAAGTAACCATTAAATGGAGCAAAGAAAAAAAGCATACTACATCCCACAGTGCCTATGTAGTCAGTTCTACTGAAATTAAATGATATTTTTAACTCAAGGGCTGAGGGATTTTATACCTTATGTATCTAATCCTCTGCTCCAAGTCACAAGTCTCATAATCAGTTAAAGTTTGTGCACTTAGGCAAAGACACAACCAACACCCTACAAAAAGAAACCCCAGTGGGTTGTTTTTACCTGTTCTACTAGTCAATGGTCATATGGCTTTTTTTCTATTAAGGTCCCTTTAGCAGGCCTTTTAATTTTCCCATCAGTGACTGCTCTAAAGAGCTGTTGGGCCTCTGGTCAACGAGAATCACAGACAACTTCCTCTCATATAGCTCAGATATAGACACACCACACAACAGGCACTTCATGGGTACTAAGCAACTAGTACCATTCTCTTTACTAGTGAGACACCTTTAACTGACAAGTTTCTCAGTACCTTTTGGCAAGTTTCTGAACTACACAATTCCTGAAACTGAATATATACCTTATTTTTGTTTGACCATCCTCACTACATTTATTGAATGATATGTCCCCTCTCAGTCAACAGCTGCAATGTTAAACTTCATAAAAAATATGCACTGCACTACATGGAACTGTGTTATTTAGTTATTAATATACTAGTCAATTGCCCATCAAGAATGACAGGCGGGGGGGCTGGGATGGAGTGACGACACCTAATGCCCCATGCTGCTGCTCTTCTGCCTCTTGCAGGGAGCGGGGTGGGGGAGCTGGCCTTAGCTGGCCTTGGCTCCCCAACCCTCTGCCTGGTCCTTGGTGCAGCTTTGGAATCATGGTGGTGCTCCCCCATGCTTGGAGCACTTTGATTGGCTATTTCCGTCAGCCAATCAGAGCACAAATAAAGCGTTACAGACAGATAGACTGACAGACTTAGGCTTTTATAATATTAGCATTCAGCAACTCCCAGTTACTGGTCACTGGATTTGAACATACATCATTTGCACTGTTAGCAATACAGCAGAAAAATAGCAGGCTTGAAAGTGCTGAGAAAACTGGATTAACTAAAAAGCAAGAACCAAGCGAACAGCCTACCCCTACCTGTTCAAAAATGCATTTCCAAAGCGGCTGAGTTTGCGGAATGGCTTCTTCGGGTCCACCACCAGAGCATTTCCAGGAGTACTCCCTTCTGTATCTCCATACATCACAGCAATGAAAGAATCTGTGGTAGGCTCAGGACCAATCCTCATGCCTGGAAAGTCCTGCTCTAAAAGGTACCTAACGAAGGGCATTACAAAAAAGAAAAGAAAAAAAAATGAACAAGTATTAAACCAAAACTGCTGCAATTCTTACAATTATTAAAAGAAATGAAATTCAAAATGGCACACAACCCTCCCCCCTCAGCCCAACCAAAATGTAGATTCCTGCCCCACCCCCTCCACATTTTGCTATTTCTTTTGGCTGGAAAACATTATATAAATCTAAATTTATAATTGTAACTTTTTGCAAAAGATAGAGTTAGATGCAATCCCACTGGGGCCAGATGAAGACAGCAAAAGTCAATCCTCCGCAGTAAAACCATAACTGTAAACACTCCCTCTGCTGTAACACCTGCCTGAGTAGTGAGGGGTCCTAACTTCTTCACGCTTAGCTACAAAGTTATCTGTTAATTTAAGGTGCTCTACTGGGCATGACTGTAGCTAGCCAATATAGCAATGCTAACACTAGGACAGCGGCTCTCAAATGTTTTGGGGCTGCTTTGCCTTTCAAGTCTGTTATACTGATGTGTATCCCTATGTTGACAAGTTATGGATAAGGGAAAGGAACACTTTGGGTCATAACTCATAGAAAAGTAGAGCTAGACGGGACCTCAAGAGGTCATCTTGTCCAAGCCACTGCCTGAGGTAGGACCAGATTGTATTCCA